TTGTCCGCTGCGCTTGTTGTGATACCCCAACACAATATTTAAATTACTGCTTGTACCCATAAAATATTAATAGTTGATAAATCATTCCTTTTTCCATATAAAAAAATAAATAAATAAATTTTGTCCTTGGCCTAAATAATTTTTTATTATATTATATTAATTTTTATATTAATTCCTTTTTTTTTTATGTGCATAATTGTTGAGGGAATCAAAACAGGTGATCTAATTGCGCAAATACTTGGGTGTGCCCTGGCACACCTTGCTAGGTGTGTCAGGGCCTTTTGTGAAATACACCTCCCCCAACAGCGCGTGAGGTAAGAAGGTAAGACATTTTTTTTTTTTAAATGAGACATGTGTCTCATTTCTATTGGGCAATGAAATTCATATACCATATTTTATAAATTAAATTATCATTCATATTTTGTATTAAAAAATAAGAATAAAAATACCAAAATTCATAATTTTTCATTCTCTACAAATAGAGACCACATTTGATATTTTTTGGAACACAATTAATTTATCATTTTTTCAATTAATTTATCTTATTGGAAGATTATGACATAAATCTATAATTAGATGAATATGTTACATACTAAGATGAACATGTTATAGAGTAAGATGAACATGTCATAGAATAAGATGAAAATGTTAAATTTTCACAGATGAAATTTAATTGAACATGTTCTAAAATAAGATGAACGTGTTACATAATAAAATGAACATGTTATATAATAAGATGAACATGTTACATAATAAAATGAACATGTTATAGAATAAGATGAACGTGTTACATAATAAAATGAACATATTATAGAAGAAGATGAACATGTTACATATTAAAATGAACATGTTATAGAATAAGATGAACATGTTACATACACAATAAGGTGAATATGTTACGTAATAAAATGAACATGTTATAGAATAAGATGAACATGTTAATACACAATAAGGTGAACATGTTATAAAATAAGATGAATATGTATTATTTCAATCCGCAATCTGTAACATGTTCATCATATTTGAAAACATATTCATTTTATTATGTAACATATTCATTATATGTCAGTATAATAAAATAATTTCGAAAAAACGAAAAATTAGTTTTGTTATAAAACATATCAAATGTGGTCTCTATTTAGATAATGAAAAATTATGAATTTTGGTATTTTTATTTTATTTTTTTAATATAAATAATTAATGATATTTTAATTTATGTAATATGTCTCATTTTTTAATTAAAAAAATAAAAAATAAGAATGTGCACTACCTAGTTAGGTGTGCCAGGGCACACGGTAGTGCTACTGGATCTAATTGTGGTCAGTGTTACAGTCTTTCAAGTCAATTTGGGTGTGTGAGTTGTGACTGTGTGTAGCGCCGTAAGGCCTCGGTATTTGGAAAAATGGAAATATCATATAGATTAGGGACCACATTGCAATAAATTTTGTTTGGACCAAAATAGGTTGATCTTCTCCATCAATTTTATTACTATTATTTATTCTATATCTAGATGTGGACTACCTTTGTTGTTTTGTGTACACATTATTATATAACGTGATAAAAATAATAAATTGGTCAATTTTTGGGGGTGAAATTTTCATATTATATTATACGATAAATATCTTTTGCCAGCGTCCGTTGATTTTAAATTTGTCTGCAAATACTTTTGAAACATATTTTTATATATAAAAGTTTATTTAAAAAAAAATATTAATTAATACTTAATAAAAAACTTATTTTTTTAATAATTCTTCAAAAAAGTCTTTCCCAGAAGTATATTTTGTAAAATCCCACTGTGAAATTAGAAACACACATGTAAATAATTTAGTCAATTTTCATCATAAATATGACTTATTTGAGTTACCCACTTTATCATTCATATATATATATCGAAAATGTTACAGTCCCGGAACTATCATGTCGAGATTTGTAACCTTTAGATCATTATGTAACCGTCAGAGATATATGATCTAACAGTTACAAATTTCGACGAAATAGTTCTGCAACGAAATCGTATGAATGATTATTAGATAGCAGTAATGCTAAGGAGCCAACAACTAATTGGACAACTTTATGTGGGGCTGTCCTACATTAAAGTATTGTGGGACAACCCCACATGAAGTTATTTCATTGGTTGTTGGCTATTGTTGACTCTTTAGCATTATTGGATTAGATAAAAGTGTTGTGGTAGGGTTAAATAAAGAAAATAAATGTTTTCAATGATTGTCCGAAATCCCGACATATGAAGCCCAGCCATGTGACGAATCAGTGACTATTTGATAAATATGTACAAAATTGTTTTGTAGAAAGTCGTGCCATTTTTTTAGAGGTCCGAAATTTTTTATCGTATAAAATAATACTGTTTATGATATGTACAATACTTTCAAAATGTACTTGTGGACACCATTCCATCAGTGAATCCTATTCCCGGCCGGCCGTTAGGTCCGGTTCGAGAAGGAGCATCCCAGCCGAGCTGAGCATAGCGATCCTCCGAGTATTATGTACATTTATTATGTACTTGTAACGTTTTCTTAAAATGATTAGTTAAAATCATAATGATAATATGTCTCCCTAACTAACATACGTGCATGAAAATCAAGAAACTCTCTAGAGCAAAAAAGCAATCAACAAATTTAAAACGCAAATGTCAATAAACATTTCTAACCTTAATTTCCTCAGCCTCAGAAGTCAAATCACAGCCCGACCCGAAATAAGCTCCGGGGCTCCGGTCCGCCACGTCATTCTCCCGGCAGAAGGCCAACCACCGCTTCCCGAACTTGGCCGCCTCCATCAGCGCAAACACGGTCAGCTCCGACCCGCCGTCGTCCGACACATACACCGACAACTTCTCGGCCGGATAATCGTACGCCATCACCGAAAGGGCCGTGTTCACGACCGTGACCGGCGGCTCCTTGTGCGGGTCCGCCGTGCAAATGAACACGTCCGTCGCCGGAAAATCCCTCCGGTCGAGGACCTTCTCGAGGTTCTCCGGGAACTCTTCCCGGACGACCGGGTTCATGCGGTAGGCCTGAGTGGTGGACCACATGTAGGCCAGGAGGAGGTCGGAGATTAGGAGAGAGAAGGAGACGAGGAGAGAGAAAGCGGTGGTTGAGGTGAGGATGGCGTGCGTGTGGTGGCGGAGGAGACAGAATACGGCCACCGCGTAGACCGCTGCAAAGAGGCGGTTGGCGTGGCGGCGGCGCAGTGGCCGGAGAGAGTGGAGGGGCGGCCGGGTAGTGGCGGTGGTCATGTTTTTTTGTTATTATTATTATTATTATTATTATTATTATTATTATTTTTATTTTTTTTTATGGGTCTTACCCTTTGTAATTGGGAATGTTGTGCCCTGTTTGGAGTGCAAGTTGGTCATATATAGGCCCAATTTGGGGGTCTTTATGATTCAATAATATTATTGTTTCAGTTGATCAAGTATAATAAATGCGCTTTGAAAATATATCAGCCTTCCAATTAATTATTTAGCATTACGGCCACACGTTATGTCCACGGCATATGGAGCTGGAAGAGTCATTGTTGACAATTTTCCTATTCTTCTGGCATAATGCTAATAATGGATTAAATCAAAATGACTCAATTAAATTCTAGTGCTTCTTTTATTGGTGAAGTTTCTTGAATAAAATATATCAAACGACGCAACGCCCCTTGGGTCGCTATGGAAACAACCTCCTTGTATAATTACAAAGGTAAGGTCTGCGTACAACTGACCCCCAGACCTCAACTTGTTGGGAATATACTGGGTATGTTGATGTTGATGTTGATGTTGTATTACGGCCACACGTTGGCATTTATTTGTCAATGATTTTGCGTCACACATATGCTCGGACATTACTTTCAACTTGTAATTATGACCAGATTAATTTCAGTCCATAATCTTACTCCAAAAATATTAGTAAAACCTAATTCACTACGCTGTTGGCTTCCTCCAGCGACGCCCCGTTGCTGCCGTCACTGGACCGTGCTCTTGGTTTCTCGGTAAATGTCCCTAGGACGAATTTACGATACAGCGGAGACAGAATAAAGCGCCCATAATAAAGACGTTTATTGTGTCTTCTTGATTCAACACACTTCCATTTTGGTGAACAAAACCAAAAAACTACAACACAACTCAAATATAGGCAATAAGACCAATAAGAATATACTAGGAATATGAGCTTCTACACATGAACCTTAAAGAAGACAAGTTCAAAGTATTGACCAATCAAGAATTACAAAGGACAATACTAAGTCGTGACTCTAAATTATATGTCTCATATCAACAAATTTTCAATTGACTTAAAATCACCATAGTTCAACTCATTGAAAGGCATAAAGTAAGACAATTTAAAATGAAATAAACGTATTTATCCAAATAAAAAGTTAGCAATATAGACCAAGCATTGAACATCAAGCGGGGGAGACAACACAAATACCGGTCCGTTTAACACAAGACTAAGCAAAACACAAAAAAATAAAAGCAAAATAAACCTAAAAAAAACTAAACTGAACGACTACATAAGCATGCAAGGTTCCCAAAACCTCAATCACACTTAAAACAATGCAATGCTCTCATTGCTTACCCAAACAAATGACAGAAATAAGACAAGGAACGAACATAGGTATGCAATGGGATCGAGTCAAATGAACGAAAAGAAGAAAAACACATAAGCAACAAAATAGTAAAGTCACACAAAGTAAGAGAAGGTAAGAAAATGCATACTCGATTTGTCTCACGTTCCGGATTTGAATAGAATGGCAAATCAGCTCGCCAAAAATCTCCTTGACTGTCAAAGGATATGGAAGTTAAAAAAAGAAATCTCACCTCGTGGCTCGAGTCTCCGAAGAATATAAGAATTACTAAACAGATTCGCACGTCAAGACTGCAAGCTCCCAAAGGATATAGCAACACAAATCGAAGATTACGCCCAAATCAAGCCGCCAAAGATATATGTGTGTCAAAACTGGCCTTGAAACACTTGTCAAACGCCACAAGATAGAGAATTTCGAAACAAATTGTCAACACTTCCCTAGTTGTCCGGCATAATCGATAAAGCACAACCCCTCTAGAATAAATATAAATCCACAAGCGAAACCGAACTCCAATAATATAATGAATTTCGGTTCGGTTCGGTTCGGAGATCGAATTTAAGGATCTCCAAATTTTGGCACGGTTCCATAGATTTCTCAATCTATGAACTGTACCGACCCATGCTCATACATATCACAACGCCTAAGTACACCGCATTTTTCAAAATAATAAAAAATATCTCCCAACAACTTCATAAGTGAAAGACAACCACTAAATTTCTCCAAGTTTTCAAGAAAAGCTCACTAGCCCTTGATACACCTCCCCCACACTTAAGATATAGCACTCGTGGATTTATAAAAGCATACCCAATTTAAATAAAAAATGCTCAAGTTAATCCAAGTGAAGTACCCCGTATGGCTTTCATCTCGACAACAAAAGCATAAAAATGGGGCATGAACACATGACAAACCTCCTTGAGAGTGAAAAATCCAAGAAAAACAGGTGAAAGGGATGAAATCGCCGGAAAATAAGGTTTCTGGCAGCTAAAATGGCTAGAAACAGTTGAAGGAGTTGAAATGTTGTTTTCTTTCCAGCTGGAAAATATCGACGGCGACCGGAAACGGGATCTGGGAAGTTTGTCGAAAAATTTGAGCGGCAAATGTCGTCGGCGACCGGCAATTCGTCGGGCCTCGATAGTTCGCCCGGTGGCTCGTTGTGGCTCAATGGTGGTCCGGTTGGTCTGAGTGCAGTGCGCGTGGACGCGGGTCAAGGCTCATGTGGGTGCAGACTGGGCTTGTCGGGTCTGCTTGCGGAGCACGGCCCTAGGCATTTGTGGTGCATCGCGCGTCGCCGGGGTCGTTCGCTAAGCGAATGCACTGGGGTTACGGGTGAGGTGCCGCAGTAATCACACAGACAGGGTTCTCGAAGCGTATTCGCTATGCAAAGCTTTTGGTTGGGCGAGCGAGTTCGTTTCTTGCGAGATAATGTTCACCAAGTCGCGGGCGGGCGGGACGCGTTGTGTGCGCTGGCATCACCGGGTCGCTTAGGTGTAGGCGTGTAGCGCGCGGGTGTTGTCAGGCACAGTGCAGCATCGCCGAGTTGCTTGGGTGCAGCGTGCAATTGTTGTTGGGCGCGCGCGCAGGCTGCAGGGTTCTTCGGGTTTCGCCAGGCGAGCCTCTTGGCTGCTCGATGTTTATCCGTCATTTCGCTAGGTGAATCACTTCGAGCTGCGAACCTAGGGCTGCTGAAATGCCCTCCAAGAACACCAAAATGTTTCCAAGTCTTGGGCTAATAAATCAATTTCTCGTTCTCGCTTCCGGACAGTAACTCGATAAAATTTTTGGCCCGACATTAACAGGTCGGTATTGCCGAACAGGTTGGATTGAGCCTATCCTCATCAATTTTCAAACTTAACCAAATTTTCAACACTTCACCATGTTTCAACCAATTTTTTATCCAAATTTCGTCCTTGGTTCCTTCACCTTTCGCAACCTTTTTGTCTCATCTCCTTCTCCGAGTGTCCCCTGGAAGTTGTGTGCTTTGCAAGATTATTATATATATTTTCTTTTGGCTCGGCACTAAAGGTAGGTACTTCCGAGCGGGTTGGCACGAGCAATTTTTTTAATGACAAAACAAGAAATAGAAGAACTCCTTGGAAGAGAGAGAAAGAGAGCTGGACGTGTTTATGAGCTGATGGGATTATTCTCTTCTCTTCCATGAGCCTAATGCTGTATATATAGAGCTACAGTAGGGACCTTAAGGAGAATAGGATAAGGGCTTCTAATATATTAATATTTTAGATGGAATTTGATGATTCCAACGGCTATATTTCCAACGGCTTTTTACTGTAGGAATTTCCGTTGGAATATGCAAATTCCGTTGGAATTTTTTTTCCACCACCGTTGGAAAATCCACCATTGGAATTGTCAAAATCCAACGGAAATTCCAATGGAAAACTCATTCCAACGGAATATTTTCGTTGGAATTTCCGTGGGAATTGCCGTTGGAATAATTCTTTTGATATATATTTCCGTTGGAATTTCATCATTTTCTTGTAGTGATGGGAGACAACTCACGGTTTTGTTCTTCCTCAATGAAAAACACATTCCAACGGAATATTTCCGTTGAAATTTTTGTTGGAACTATTCCAACGGAAGTTATTCCATCGAAATATCCGTTGGAATTTCCATTGGAATATATTACCATAGGATTTTCCGTTAGAATATAACATTTATTTTGTAGTGCATGAAACGCTCATTTAACGTCTTTCCCCAAGTCAAAATCAACCGAGATCGAAAAAAATATCGGTTATGCCACGCCTTTGTATTTTCCAAGAGTAGTCGAGACGGTAAAACAGAACAAATGGGGGCCAATAAACTCTCATTGCCAATTTATTATGAAACCGAGCACAAATAGCAACAATCACCGAGAGAAGAATAAATCTTTACGAATCATAGCCACATAATCGACCTCCGGGTATACAAAAATGTCCGTGGAGCACGTCGAATCAATCTCGAGATCATCGTAAGTGTCATTTTAGATGTGTATTCAACGATCTTAAAAGTAGGGAGAATGGACACAAAAGCATCAAGCTTCTCCAACCAGTTAATTGATGATTATTTTAAAATACTATAGTAGAAATTAAAAACAAAGTAGAAATATTATGTTATAAAATGCGTATTATATATGATATTCAATCAAGTTCACTCATTTTCTATTGATTTTAATATTTTGTTAAGAAGATTCCTCGTTTTGTTTTGAATCCATTCAATATTTGCGTAAATATAAGAATGTATTATTATTTTCCTAAAATGTGGCCGTGAGAATTATACTTTTCTAGTTTTACTATAATTATTTGATGAATTAGTTTACACTCAGCCTGGCTTTTCCTCTTCGTAGATTCGAACCCATGACTTGAAGCGTCTTAACCACCAAGCTGCGCTTTGTTGTCTATTTGAGGTACAGTTTTTTAGTTGTTGATTATTATGCACAACATGAAAACCGAAAACGAAATAAAAACAGAACCCAATCGGGAAAAAAAAAAAAAAAAAGCAGTATCATCACATTACCTCACAAATTGTCCCAAATTCATCAAAGAAAACCTCAATCATTTTCCTCACCATGTTGTCAAACAAGCAAGTTCTAACATATTTACATAACTACAAGACGAGAACCGCGTTTTAACCACCTCATCCACACTCACCACAACACACAAAAGCCTAATATTTACATCGCAGACCTCTCCGGAGTCCAGTCCTGTCACGGCCTGAAAAGGATTCACCAAGGTGAAAGTGCAGCTAGACTAGTTTTCCAATGACCCATTACCTCCATCAAAAGTCATATCTCAGTTAACAACCAAACAATGGCAGTCGACATTTCCTTCTAACTTTTCTGCAGCACACCAAAACTGGTCCATACCTCTCAAGGAGATGAATATGAAAGATGAATCAAGTATGGAGTTGGTCTTCACATTCTGGCAGCTTGCCTCCTTTCATCTTCTTCACATCTTGACTAGAACATATGTAAATCCTCCGGACCATATTACAGAATTCCCTGTAAAAAAAGAAAAAGAAATATAATTCACTATATGATTAATGAGAGAGGTTAAAAGACAAGTACGATTTTTCTCTAGACAAAAAAGGATACTTACGGCCACGGGTCATCACCCACGAGCATCATGTCCCCTTCATCATCTGTAAAAACAATTTCCCATTTATTTCGAGAACGTAGATCCCCCTTTATTTCAAACATGTCCTCAAGTTCAATTATAAGATCATCATATCCTCTTAAAGTGCTCAAATCCACAGCCCGACCAACTGCAACACCTTGCATTTGTACCTGTTCAAATAAATTCTATAAGTTAATACACACAAAATGCAAAGCAAACTAATTTTCAAGACCATCATGAAAGTTCTACAAACAATAGTTACAACTTACAAAAGCTGACCCTTGAAGTTAATCTAATTAAGAAACAAACATTAGAATACCCCCTCTATCTGAATAAGGCAATGCGTG